GATAAATGACTAAAGCTTTTTAAGAATTGTGTCAAGGTGCTAATTCTCAGATTCAGGAGGCCTAGTAAATCATAAGCAGAATAGTAAAAGAAATCTCACCTACACACGTCATCAGAAAACCAGAGAGAGAGAGGACATCTCTAAAAAAGCCACAGGGAACAGATGGTCCTTTACAAGGAATGGCTTCCCAGCCGCGATGCCAGGTGCTAGAGAACAGTGGGGAGGTATCCCTGGTGCCTGACAGGGAAGCCCTGTCATCACAGAATTCAGCTCTAGCAAAGTCATCTCCCTCTAAGAAGGATGGTCAGGTAAAGACAGTTGAAGTTTTATAATGAAAACAAAGCTGCCACCCTCCGGAGCTCTCTATTCAGTGGAGGTATTCCTCAACAGTGACGGTGGAAAATAGCATTTCCAGGTAATAGGAAACAAGAGAATCTGTTGCCAGCCCATCTGCCCCCCACAGAAACGCTAAGGGATGTTCTACAGGCTGACAAGAAAAACAACCAGGTGGAAACTCCGTCTCAGGAAAACATCAGAAATGGGAAATAATGTGGGAGAACATTTTTTTTGTTTGTTTTTTTACTCCTCCCCCAAGGGCATGCTTAGAGAGGGAGAGAGAAACATCGGTCCTGAACGCCCCTACTGGGGATCGAGCTCACAACCCGGGCATGTGCCCTGACCGGGAACTGAACTGGCCACCTTTCAGTACACAGGACGACGCTCAGCCACCTGAGCCAGTCCAGCCGGGCATGGGAGAATATTTTTAAAGTAGTAAGAACATAAGAAAACATGAGCATCATGATTCCTGAGCCTGTGGACTTGTTCACAACACTTGGAGAATACACATTATTTTCAGTTACATACAGAATACTAACAAAAATTGATTATGTGCTGGGCAAAGATACTAGCCTCCACAAATTTCAGAAAATTGGGGTCACATAGGATATATCTTATGACCACAGTACATTCAAGTCAAAAGTCAGTAACAAAAAGATAACTAGAGAAACTCCATACACTTGACATTTTAAAAACACTTCTAAATTCTTGAGTCAAGAAAATATCATGAAAGAAATATTTAGAACCAAATAATAATGTAAATATTTTCATATCAGAATTTGTGGGACAACTGAAGCAATAATATGAGGGAAATTTACAGCATAAGGTGTTTACATTCGTCAAGAAGAAGGGCCCAAGATTAATGAGGTCACATTTGGGGTAGACTAGCATCACACCCAAATAAGGAAAGGAAGAGAAGTGAATTAGAACACACACTAGTAATACCCACAGAGATGGAAGTTGGTCATTGAAAAGAGTAATAAACTAGACAAGTCTTTGGCAAGATTAATTTAAAAAAACAGGAAAGTCACAGTGTTGGAATGAAACAAAGACCGTAACTGCCAAGATTCAAAATAGAGCAGAGGTTATTTGATCAACTCTGTTTTCAATCTGAAAATGTAGACGAAATGGGTATTAAAAAGACAAATGAGCACAGCTGATTAAAGAAGGCCTATGAATAGGGGTAGTTCTATAGTCATTAAAGAAATAGAGTCAGTTACTTAAAAATTTCCTTCACCCCTCAAGTCTACCCAGAGGGCTTTACTAGCAAGTTCTAACATCATTCAAGAAACAGTTCCACTCTTACACACACTCCTTCAGAGGACAGGAAGAGAGGGATGGAGCATCCTACGCATTTGAGGAGGCTACAGAACCTTAACACCACAACCATTCAAAAGATATGTGAGACTAGACATGCCAGGCCAGTCCTACTTATGAATATAGATCAAAAACCCTAAGCAGAGAAACGGTAGCAAAACCAACATGAGGAAAATATAAAAATGCTACAGTACATCATGAAAACTTGGTTTTCAAGCACCAGGTTATTAGAAAATGTATTGATGCACCATTTTAACAGACCCAAAGAGAAAGATCATGTGATCTTGACAGAGTCAAAAACAGGTTGATAAAATTCATCGGCTATCCCTGGCCAGTGTGGCTCTGTTGGTTGTCATCCTGTGCACCGAAAGGTCACTGGTTCGATTCCCAATCCCTGGTCAAGGTGTGTATGGGAGGCAACCAATCGATATTTACCTCTCTCCCCTCTCCCTTTCCTCTCTCTCTAAAATCAATTTAAAAAATAAAAATTAGTTTAAAAAAATTCATCACGTATTCATTGTGAAATTTTAGCATATTTGGAATAATAGGGAACTTGCATAACCTGATAAAGGACTTCTAAAAGGAAAAAAAAAACACATTATTGCAATTGGTAACTTTTAAAAAATTATTGATTTTAGAGAGAGGAAGGAGGACAGAGAGAAATGGATATGAGAGAAATATTGATCAGTTGCCCCCATACTCGCCCTGATGGGGGTTCAGACCGGCAACGTTTTGGTGTATGAAACAGTGCTCCAACCAGCTGAGCCACCTGGCCAGGGCCAGATGGTACCGTTTAGTAGTAAAATGTTGAAAGTTGACCCTGGGAGAGCAAGACAAGGACACTTCTGCCTTCCAGCTTTATGTTGGGACTCGTGGTCACGCCAATGCAGTGAGACAGGAAAATGAAAGAGTATAAGGACTAGAAAGACTAAACTGTTGTTATTTGTAAGTCATAGTTTGTGTACATAAAATATTAAAATTTTTCTGCAGATGAGCTTATTAGAATTAAGAGTTATTAGAATTATAAGAATAAATAATTAGGATGAATTTCTATGTTGGAATTAAGAGTAGCAAGATTTCTGGAGAAAAATTAGCATACAAAAGTAAATTGTCTTATGCATAACAATAAATAAATAGAAAATGAACTTTTAAAAATATATGAGTCCCTGGGAATAAATTTTACAAACGCCGTATAAATCCCTTATGGAAATAAAGGGTAAAGTTTTAAAAGATTAAATTTTACTGAACGACATTAAAGAAGACTTAAGTAAGTGGGGAGATAGTCTGTGGTTTTGGTTTAGGAAGAGTTGCTATAAAGAGAACAATTTTCTTCAAATTGACGAGATTCAGTGCAATTCCAAGGCTTTGATTTTTTTTTTAACCTGACGAGATTATTTACAAATGAATGTGGAAGCGTAAAGGGCCAGGAGTAGCCAGGATGCTCCTGATGAACAAGGCCGGGTTGGGACTCGCTGTGCCGGGTGCCAAGGCGTGTTACCGTGGTGGCATCTGGGGGGGTAGCCAGGAGCGCGGCCTGGGGACCGAGGGGCCGCGGGACAGCAGAGCCCGAACGAGCCGCGGCTCCTCCGCCTGGCGGGTGGCGCTGGGCGAGGGGGAGCCGCGAGGTGGTCCTTGCCTTACACCACCTACAAAAGCCAGGCGCTGGTGAATCAAGCATGAAGACATGGAAGGCAAACTAAATCTTTCAAATGTTAGGCCTCAGTGTAGGGAAGGATTTTCAAAATGTCAGGAAAAGCAGATTTCAAACAAAAATACTGATAGGTCTACTCCATTAAAGTTAAGAACTCACCTGTTCACTGAACGGTACCTTCAGGAGAGGGAAGGTGAAGATATTTGTAACACGAGGAAGAGAATCAGTTTTTAGAACATGGGAAGAATCTACCAAATCGGTGAGAAGAACCCAGAGGGAGGGGTGATGGCTGGGACAGTCTTTCTAGGAGACAGGTGGAGTTCATAGGAGAAGAGTCACAAAGGGACAAGGTGCACAGCTTCGTGGAACAAGGAGAGGCCAGTCTGACCCAGGAAACCTCGAGAATAACATCTCCCACCCACCCAGATGGGCACCCTTGAGAAAGGGAGATGGCACTAGGTGTTCCTGAGGTTACAGTGCGACTCCGGGAGCCCTGGACGTTATCCACAGCCACTGGGAGCGTCAGCTGGCCCGACCACGTGGGGACCCTTCTGACATGACTCGGGGAAGAAGAAAACGCCCCCGGGACGGAGTGGACAAAGCAGCACAGGAGGGACCGGATGGACCAGACCCGTGCCTTCCAGACCACTCGACGGGCCTCGTACAGAATGACACACAGCGAACCTCAGCACAGGCGGCTCTTCCAAATAAAACGTGGAGCGAGCGCAGCCTGTCACAGGAGAATGTCTGCAGTATGTTTCCATGTATAGAAAGTTCAGAAAACCGGCACAGCTAACCACTGTACTATTTAATGAGGAGGGAAATCAAGAGAGGGGCTAACAATCCACGATGATGGGGGCGAGGGCGCCATTGGAGAAGGCACTTTCTGGTCCCTAAGGAGCGGCTGGTTTTTACACATTTCCTGTGCTGTTCCACTGGAGGAAAGGAGATGCACGATGTGTGTGTTGTGTACATGCCCACACATAAACGTGTCCACACAGACTCAGATGTGTGTGTGCACATGTCCTCATAAACGTGTCCACATGTGCCCAGATGTTTGTTTGTACACACATACATGTGTATCTACACGAACCTAAAATGGAGACACACAACAGGATTGACACCTTACGTAAGTTCGCTCAAGTGTTTTCTATTCTGTCCTTTAAAAAAACCCAGTGGTGGATGACCCACTAAATTGATTTGTCACTCACAATTCGAACATGTTTAATTGCTCGAGCTGGCGGTCAGTTGTTATTGTTCCTCTCTATGCTGCGCTCACCTGCTTCAGTTGGCCTCCTTTCAAAAGCAGAAACCACTCAAAGCAGGTGGGGCGGGGACCCTGCCGGGGCAGAGCGCTGGTCCAGGGAAGCCTGTGGGCTCAGGAGGTGGGCTTGAATTTAGCCCAGGGAGCCCTTTGCAAGACTGGGTGTCAGCTGTTTCCTGTCTGGCCCCTTCCCAGGGCAGGGGTCCAGCGGGCCTTGCCCAGCGCTCTCCCAGGAGTAACACCCCAGAACTGTCAGCCCTGGGCTTCAGCTCTGGCTGGTGTGGGATAGCACCCTCTGGGTGTCTGCCTCTCCTGATATGGGCACAGATCCTAGTGGCTTATATGGCCTGGCCCACAGTGCCCTTGGTCTTTTTACTCCAGCTGCCGAGAACTTCTGAGGGCATCTCTGAGTCCTACCCTGCCTTCCTACAGGTGCCAAGCCAGCTTCCTCTGTTGTCCCGTGGGGAGGCCCCCCTGGAGCCAGCACACACTCTGTCTCCAAGAGCTCAGATTCCTGGGCAGCCCCACAGCAGCCTGCCCCGAGCACCGAGAAAACCGCCGATGCCTGGGCAACAGCCTCTGCCGACCAGCCCATGTCCACCTCTGGTGAGACCTCATTCCTCCTGGGCTAAGAGCCCCTTTTAGCCCCAAGAGCCCTTTTGGGCCCTGCCACTTCCCCCCCAGTGGCTCTTTGACATAGGGCCTATCAGTTTGCCTTCACTTGCTACCCTCCTCCCGCAGCCTTTGTCCCCAGTCCCCGGGCTAAGCCCAGTCTGTGGAATGAGCTCACAGGCCTCTGGGCACCGAACCTCCTCCAGAGGGTGCCACCCCAGGGCCCCTGGGCAGACTGCCCCGGACACCCCACCAGTCACTTCCTATAGGCCCTACCCCAGCTCCTAGACCCAGCTCAGGTGTGTCTCCACCACCATTAGCTCCTTCAGTTTCAGGGGGGATGATGGGAGCATTGGCAGGCGAGCACCCCATTTTGCACCAGGAGGCCAAGCTCTCAGGCCTGGCCCTGTCCCCTCCAGTTGCAGCCCACCAGGTAACCTTGAGCCCGGGCTGCCCCCTTGCTCTCAGCATTCTTTCCTAGAAGGTGGAATAAGCATCTACCCTCCCCTGTCTGGTGCCTGCCCGCTGCAGACCGTAACTGGGAAGTGGGACACAGAGAAGCCATGATGCCCATGGTCACTGGCCTCTTGTGTTCACCCAGGGGCCTTCGATCTCTTCAGTAATTTGAATGGGACAATTAAAGATGACTTTTCTGAATTTGACAACCTCCGAACTTCAAAAAACACAGGTATGTAAAGGTGGTAATGGTTTCCATAGAGTGTGCATTTGACCAGCCCAGTTACTGCGGAAAGAACAGTCAGCTTTCAAAACCTCTGGACCTCATGCACCCGCTCTGCCTTTTGCTCTTGGGAGCCGTAGTGGAATCGCCTGAGCTCGCACATCTGCAGTGAACAGTCCAGTCCTACTGTTGAGTTTTCCTCTCACCCTCTTGGGTGTCTCCTTTCTGGGTCACCTTTTTCTTGGCCTCACGCCCCCTGAGGCTCATGACTGCCCTGCCCCCAGCACAGAGTGGGGCCCCCCACCTGCAGGCCTGAGCCATGGTTTCCATTCACCCTCATCCTCCCAACTCCCCGCTCCCAAAGGCGCCAGCTTTTCCAGTCTGTGCCTCAGTTCATACCTGGGGTTGCAGCTCCTGCTCGGCCGGAGCCCCGTCCAGGAGACCCATGGTTTCATCTTCAGGCCCAGCTCCTCCCTGTGTGCCCTGGACTGGGAGGGGTAGGGTGGGGTGCAGAGTCGGCCTGAAGGGAGCAGGAGGAGCACGCCCAGATGCTTTCTCCATCCACCTCTGAGGAGCTGGGCGCCTCAGGGCCGCGCTGTTTGTCCTGCAGAGAACTTCTCTTTCCTCTCCTCCCTCAGCTCCTCCCTGTGCACACCTTCCTCCCACTTTCTCTGCCTCTTCCCGGCTACAGCCATAGGCTTGGCTGGCCCTGGTCTAAGGTACGAGCAGCCTGGCCCCTCCGCTCGGGGCCACAGGCAACTTAGAATGTGCTGCTTCTTGGGGTCTTTGTTTCGCTGCCTTCAAAGCAACAGGGTGCCATGGTCTCTGCAGCCAGAGTGCACCCTCTCTGTCCTTCCTGCGCACCCTCCAACTTGCAGTGATTCCCCTGCTCTAGGACTGTTCCCATGGTGGTGAATTTGGAAGTTGATGGGAGAAAATGGAAATCGTTTCTGATTCTTCCTCCTTCCCTCAGTCACTGTTTCCTCTTAAACACAGTTCTGCTCATCCTGTCAGGGTTGAATCCTGCCCCACCTGTATAGACTAACAGATTAAGAAGGTTTTCTCATACCATTAAAAATTCTGCAGAAAGTATTTCACATCTGTGTAGTATCTGTATTGCTCAGCACAGTTCATTTAATCTTTATTCTGGGAGGACACTTGAGGTTGGTTTCAGGTTTGCTGATGTCAATAACACGGCGGCAAGTGTCACCGGGCCTGAGTCCGCGGCCACATCTGCATTATTTCCCGAAGCTGGATTCCTAGAAATGGGCTCACAGAGTGGAGCATGACCATTTTTAAGAACCTCTGTGCCACGTACCCACCGGCCTGTCTCAGCACACCCTCTATTGGCTGGATTTTTAAAAATAATTCGCTTTCTTCTAACTATCAAGAAATTCATGTTCATTGTAGAAAATGAAAACATTACAAACATAAATTACCGTGCCTAGCCGCCAGCCCAAGGCACCGTCTTACACTGGAGGATGTGCTGTGCTCACTGTTCAGTCCCCGCTTTCTCATTTCAAATGCTGATAAGCTCGCTCTCCTCCTTGTCTGGGCTCCTCTGTCCCTGCACTCGGCCCGGTTATCTGTACAGTGGGTTGTGTAGCCTGCCCTGTGGCTAACTCTGTCACCAGCTGGTGGCTATTGGAAACAACACTGCAATGAACACCCCCATTCTCTTCATAGCCCCATGGGGAATTGCGGGTGCTCTGGGGTTGGCTGGCAGCCTTGGATGCAAGAGCCTTGGGACCTGCCCTCCACGTTAACCGTGTCTGTGTATGTCCTTGTCTTGTAGCTGAGGCCATGGCCTCTCTGCCATCTCAGAAAAATGGAACTACAAGCCCCGACCCCTTTGAGTCTCAGCCCCAGACCATGGCCTCGAGCAAGCCCAACAGCGCCCGGAAAACCCCAGAGTCCTTCCTGGGTCCCAACGCAGCCCTGGTGAACCTGGACTCGCTGGTGACCAGGCCAGCCCCGCCGGCCCAGACCCTCAACCCTTTCCTGGCTCCAGGTATGCTCCTCCGGGCGCCGCCTCTGCTGCCTGCCCTTCCTCAAGCGTTGTGGGGGGCCGCCCCCACCCCGTGAGCGCCATCTCAGGCCCAAACCTCCCTGGGTCTAGGAAATCGTGGAGCCAGCAGGACACCTGGACAGCATTTTGGCTCTCCTGGGCCTTAATGGGGGGCCTGTGAAAGCGGCTATTAGCTTGAGGGGAGTGAGAAACAGCGCCTCCTTTCAGTTGAGACCACTGAGCAGAAGCCCCAGCCAGGGAGACTGTCGAGTGAGCGCCAGTTCTCGGGGTGCTGGGGTGAGGGAGAGTGCACTTTGCTGCCCTTCATTCCCCGTCAGGTGGAATGTCACTGGGCCCTTAGCTGGGCTATCCTGCAGGGACCCGAGGACCGTCACTTCACCCCTGCTGCTGGATTCTGTCTTTCCTGGGGCCGGGCACTCTACCCTCCCACCCCCCTAAATTCATTCTCCTGCTGGTGGGTTCTGTCTAAAGACCTGCTCTCCACCCTCGGATTCCATATGGACTGCAGGGCAAGCCTCTGGCCCTTGCATTAGTGTCCAAGTGTTGTGGCCTTGCCCTGCTGTCCCCTCCCTGAGTGCTCGGACCCTCAGCTGTGCCGAGCTCCTGACATTTGTCATGCAGACACATTCTGTTTCCTCTACCTGCAGTGACCTCCCTCTCCCCCAGTAGGAAGTCACATCATCATATCTGTCCTTCAGTGCCCATCCCAGACGGCTCTCTTCCTCTAGGGAAACCTTCCATCCCCACAGATTTCCCAGCAGGGCCTTGGGCTCCCCAAAGGCAAGAACTTGTCACATTCAAGGGGTTCAGCCCCAGACCTGCCCCCTGATGAAGGGACCTGAAGGTCTGGACCACTGCCCCTGATGGGACCCTGCAGAGAAGGACCCCAGGACTTAGAGGGTGGACTTTGGGGACCCTAGGGCAGAAGTGGATGTGTGCAGTGCCTTGTCCTGCCCCACCCTGCAGCCCCGAAACCGGTGAGGTGGTTACCCACAGGGGCAGTGGCACCATGGCTCCTGCTCCCTGGATGGAGCTCTCGAACAGAACCAGTTCCCTAAGCCAGCATGAACCCCTGCCCCTCCCGCAGGAGTCCTGCTGGCAGGTTGTGTCCATCGTGTCTCCTCCAGGCTTTTGGGGAGGGGGGATTGTCAGGGTCTAGGGGCAGCTGTGCTGTCTGCAAACAGGCTGTGGTCTCTGGGACTGAAGCCAAGATGGAGGAGGTTTGGGCAGCCCTGCTGGATCTCCAGGGCTGTTTCCAGGTCACACAGGTGGCTCTAGTCTGTTGTCATTGGTGGGGTCCTGGCTCTAACCCTTCTAAGCTGGGGGCCTCAAGCATGTCACTGTCTTGCTCTGCAGTCTGTTTGGTCATCTCTAGCTGGGGTGGTCTGAGGGCTGCATCCTAGGTTACTTAAGGAGGGGCTGATGCAAGAGTGTCAGGAATCCCCTCCGCAGGCCTGCCTCTCGCGCGGAGCGGGCAGTGCAGCTGGGGTGACTTGCTGGGGTGCCCTTGCCGGGCAGCCTTGTGAGCAGGAGCTGGGCTGCTTGGGAGACTCAGTGCCAGCAGCTTTGGCGTTTTTTGGCAGAGTGTCAATAGATGTTTTTGCTAAAAGGGGGAAAAGGCTTTCTGATGTGAGATTAATTCTGGAAATACTGGGTAAGACAGAGCTGCATCTGCGTCTTGACTGTAGGACTTCTCAGGGTACAGCGTGGGGACTGCCACTGTCAGGCCACATGCTGTGGTTTCCCCTCCCCCTTTGCCCCTCTCTCTCCTGGGCACCTGTTGACATGGAGCAAATGGGACAGGGGAGCAATGCCAGCTGTTGGCTGCTGAGGGAGCCCTGGAGTGCAGCCCTGAGGGAGCTGGAGCCCTCCGAGCCGGGCATATTCCTGGCACTGCCTTGTTTAGGCTTTGTGACCTTGGACAAGTCACTTGGCTTCTCCAAGTCACAGCCTTAGTCCCCTCATCCAAACAGCAGAGATTCCTTCAGGGAGCAGACATGTCTCCGTGTGTCAGCTGGTGCTGCTGCAGGCTCTGTGGACAGTGGGGACCAGGATGCACCCAACCCTGGTCTTGGGGATGGGAACGATTCTGACGATCCACTGGCCTCCTACTCTCTCCCCAGGTGCAGCTGTGGCTTCGGGCCCTGTCAACCCATTCCAGGTGAACCAGCCCCAGCCGCCGACACTGAACCAGCTGCGGGGCAGCCCAGTATTGGGGACCAGCACGTCCTTCGGGCCTGGCCCAAATGTGGAGCCCATGGCTATGGCCTCTGTGGCCTCCACAGCATCACACCCAGCTCTAGGGGCCAGCAGTTCCTCCCTGACGCCACTGGGCCCTGCCACAATGAACATGGTGGGCAGCATAGGCATCCCCCCTTCGGCAGCTCAGGCTACTGGCACAACCAACCCTTTCCTTCTCTAGTTCCCAGGCCTGGGACCTGCCACACAGCACATGCCATGAGCACCTGTGCCGAGGACGCCGAGCAGGGACTCTCACTGTGGAATGGTGCCCAAGGTTGGGGTGGGTTAGGGCTTTCCAGTCTATTCCTGGTAGAAGGGTTGTCTGTACAAATAGCCCCGTCCCTAGGCTAGAGCCGGGCGGGCATGCTGAGCTGGCAGATCCAGCACGGGCTCTGCACACCTGGCGCCTGCTCTTCGGTCCCCGGCCTGCAGCTTGAGGCCCAAGAAAGCCCTGACCCACCCAGCCACCCTCACCTCCTCCTCCCAGGTGCAGGCAGGGTCCTGGATCCCATGGGGGTTACCAGCTCTCCAGGGCCTTGGTCAAGGAGGCAGGAGTCCTCAGGGTGGCCTTTGCCTTTAGCCTCAGCCTGAGGGTCTCGGGGACACCATCTCGCCCAGGACTTGGGGTGGCCACCTTGTCTTTGCCCTTCCCCCCCAGCCCTGCCGACACCCCAGGCAGTCCCAGGCGTGGTTGGAATGAAGTGCTGGCTCCACTAGACACTGACCTTTAGGGGAAGTGGTTGTGCATAGTTTTCTTTGACTCATGTATGAGTTCAAAGTAAACACCACCACTGGGAACAACTCGCGTCAAATCCACTAGAGCAAGCTTTAAACTAACCTGAGCATAACCCCGCCACGCGGCTCTGTGCTTGTACACGTTTGCACATATTTTGTTTAGTACAGTTTCATATTTGAGTTTGCAGAGTTATCTAATAGTCTTTTTTTGGCTAATATTTTTATAATGTGGTTCTTATTTAACTGTCTAGTTTTGATAGAATTTACCAGGTCTGGCCGAATTAAGATATTGGCACATGTCATATTAGTAGTTTAAATTCTCTTATTTATGGTTTTAACTCTGTAAGAAATTTTAAATAGGAAGAGAAAAAATGCCTTATGGGAAAACTAAAGCAGATTCTTTATAGGGAAAAATACGAGAATTTGATTACATTTAAAAGATGATGTTTATTTAAAAAAAAACAGAAACAACTACAACAGTAACAAAAAACACTGTAGCCTCCAGTTGCCTTTTCCTTTAATTCCCTTTTTTGGTGAATTACCAAACTGATTGACTTTCAGCCTTTTAGGCTAGATGCTAAGAAAGAAGCTATTTTTCTTACTGATATACCAGCATCAAGAAAGTTAAAGAAAAAATCCAGTGTATGAATGTGACTCACCAGTCTTACCACTAATTCCGTTGTGTAACCGAAGGCCCACGTGGCTGACGGGCTCCGTTTCCCATGGGGATGAGACAGGAGAGGTGTCTTGGACCCGTGTCCGCGATCTCCTGTCTTACCCCTCCCTTGGGGTAGAGATGGGGAGCGTGTGGAGAGGCAGTTGTCTGGGGGCAATGGCACTTCCTTGCCCCTGGCTCCCTGGGGTCTCATGGCTGAGATGGGTGAGGCACCAGGGCTGGCCCTGACCCACCCACCTTCTAACGCCAGACACACATCACGGACCTAGAACCGTAACCCCTGACGTTGGCGACGAGGAAGCGTGGCCCTCACACAGGACAGGCGCTGCCCACGGCCCTAAAGCCTCCCTCCCTCCACCGCCCCTACGTGTTAGGTCGGAACTAAAGACAGAAAAGGCGCTGCTCCCCAGGGCGGGGCCGTGCCCCCAGCTTGCCTCACCTTCCACCGTGGGTTCCTCCCTGTCACCCCAAGGGCAGCTGACCACTGGCCGGCCTCCGTCTGGGCGGGTCTGCCCCTTAGCGCTGGCACAGGGAGGCGTGAGGCAAGCAGGCTGCGGCTGGTTCAGAGCCGCCCCCAGGCCCGCTCCCGTTTCCCTACTCACCAGTGTTGCTCCCTGAGGTCCCCTGGGGCTGGGTTGGGGGGGGGGGCAGTGGACTCAGGCAGGGTGCTTCCCCAGGGGCTGTGGCCTGGCCACCTCCCAGGTGAGACTGCACTCACTGCTTGGGTCAGAGACACTTTCTAACAGCTCTCAGGCCACCCAGGCTGTCCCTGGGCACCTGTCCCTGTTGCCCGCTGCACTGATCATGAAGCCGCCAGCCACTGCCACACGGCGGCCGTGCTCCCTCCTGAAGGGCACCTGGTAGGGGCCTCCCAGCCATTTTCTCAGTCCCAGGGGCCGGTAGCTGGTTTTGAACTTGGGTTCACTCTTGATACTTTACTGTATAAATATAATTTATCATTTGTATCATGATGCGGTCTCTGGCTGTGTCCTTCCCCCACCCCCATCTTTATCAGTCCTGTGATAGGAGAGGGGTGGGCAGGCTGGGGAGCCGGGTCCTGCCTGGAATCCAGTTTGACCTGTGGTTGGCAAGGCCATTGACAGCCCCGATGGCTGAGCGAGCCTCTGGATGTCCGGAAGGAGAGGGGCTGGGAGCAGCCTTCAGGACACTGCGCCCAGGGGTCTGCAGGCATGGAGGTGGGGGTGCTGACCCTGGTCCTGCCCCCACGCTGTGGTGGGGGGTACACTTCCCCGCCTGTGTACTGGCCAGGCTGTGTCCACGCCACCGGAGAGCTGCTCCTTCAGACCTGCCTGGCCAGCCTGCACATTCTCGAGGGGTGATCATCACAGCCACAGGCTCTTACATATTTACTGTGGCAATAGTGGACTGGTGCAGGGGCCCTGTCCCCCTCAGAGCCTATGACCAGAGGAGGGAGAGGTGTCCAACTGTACAGGGAAGGCAGCCATGGGCAGAAGGAAACAAGGTGGTGGTGCTGAGGGAGGCTTGAGGCGGCCCTTTCTAGCCACCTCTGTGCTGAAGCCCTGGCTTCCTTGTGCCCACTCAGGAAGCAGGACTTGACATGGGCCCTGGGAGGGTTTGCCAGAGCCTGCAGCAGCTGGGAGTCCACTCAGGACAGGTGAGGGTGCCCTAGGGTGCTTCTGGTTGGGCAGCTGTCCAAGTAGTGACTGGGGACTCCAGCTGCTCTCCTCTGTGACCCTGCTACCTTCCACACAGTCTCGAAGGCTGCCATGCAAGGGACTGAGTAAGCAGAGCCGGAGGTGGGGAGATTTCTCAGGGGCCAGGCCTGCAAGCACGTGACTTCCACCCTGTCCCTGCACCAGAACTGCTCTCGGCTCCACCTAGTGCAGGGTTCAGGAAATGCAGGGGCGGGAAATGGTCTTGGTTAGCTCACGGCCGGCCGTCTGTCACATGGCCCTCTAGTCGCCAAGTCCTTCATTCACTCTTTTTCTCACACATAGGTCATATACCCCCTCCCAAGGGAGACATCCATGGGACCCATCAGTCAGTCGCCTGTAGAATCAGGAGAGATGATAAGTGGCGGTTAAGCTACAAAGCTCAGGCAGTTTGTTAAGACAGCGATATACACGTGGGTGGACGCGTGCGCACGCCCTGCCCAGCGGGAAGCTGCTCGCTCTCCCTGCTGCCTTACCCGTGCTTCTCCCACTCAGTGGTAGCTGCTGGGAGGTCGTTTGGAACAATGGTGCTAGTGCCGTCTCGTTAGCCTGGTATTTGCCAAAAGGCAGTTACCTGTCAAAGTCAGTCACTGGGCCTCTATGGCTCAAAGCATTGTCCAGTCTTAGCCTTTCCTGTATGAGTTCTAGGAAGTTCCCTTTCCCAATCTTTTGATATTAAACATTTTTGGATTCTCTTTATTTCTTGTCTTTTCCGCTTGCAAACTGGCCAGTTCTGTCCTGAGCACACCTCTGCTGTGGTAGCTTTTCACAGGAGCCAGCACTCCCCGTGCCTCTCAGCAACTACCCCTTGCACCGGAGCCAGCGGCTCACCGGGCACAGCCTGCCCGGGCTAGCAGGAGGCGCCCCTGAAGTTCTCTGCCCCCCCTAATAGGGTTGTCCTGCTGCCCAGTGTTTTGTCCGAATTCTTCCTGCCTCCACCCACCGCCAGGCCAATACGCATCGGTTTGTTTTGTTTTGGTTACAGCAGAAACCCACTCCTGATACCATTTTCCATCTCAGACTAGAATAGGTCCCACAGGAACAAATACACCCCAAACTCTACGGCTGAGTGCAGTTTTCTCAACAAATGCCCAGTGGCGATGTTCCCGGCAGCGCCCTCGTGATGGGCCACCTTTCACACCTGGCCCGGCTCTGGGAGGTTGTCCATGGGTCACATCTCTGTGTGGGGAACATCCTCTCAGCTCACACTCTCAGCCAGCCGGTCACATGCGCCCACTTAGCTACAGGGGCCTGGGCACGGTCTCCCCACAAGCCCAGGAGAAAAAGGTGTCCTGGTGACAGCTTTATCATGGGAGGGTGGGAGGAACAGCAAGGGGTAGGCTTGGGGGCCACAAGCCTGGGCTGCTCTCAGATGGTCGCAGATCCCACCCCACTGCCCCTTCAGAGGCGGGAACAGGGCGCTCAGCCCCGAGGCTGCTCCCTGAGCCATTCTGTCCCTCGGCTGGGAAGAGGCGGCGGGAGTGCTCCCAGGTGGTGGTAACACTCCGCTTGAAGGCCTGGGCATCATTTGCCAAAACTCGGCGCGGAGCACACTGAAGAGCTGAAAGAGCATTCGGCTGAGCCTCCCAGAGGCCAGCGTTCGCTAGCCAGTGAGGCGCTTGCTGGCCTACGCAGGCGCTCTGCTGCTGTCAGCCGCGGATTCTGAAATGCACCAAGAGCAGGATGGCTCGGACAGGAGCTGGGCGGCAGTAAAAACTCAGACAGCCCGGCCGGGCGTGGCTCAGAGGCTGAGCATTGGCCTAGGATCCGGAAGATCAGGGTTCGAGTCCAGGTCAGGGCACATGCCCGGGTTGCGGGCTCGATCCCCAGTCGGGGGTGTGCAGGAGGCAGCTGGTGAGTGACTCTCTCATCATAGATGTTTCTCTCTCTACCTCTCCCTTCCTCTCTCTGAAATCAATAAAGACATATTTTTTAAAAAACACACAAAAAACACTAGGAAAGGTAATGGGAGACTCCGGGTGGTTGGCATGTGGGTGCTCCCTGTAGAAGTATTTCAACTTTTTAATAATAAAATGTTGAAAAGTAGAAATTTAAACATAATAAGAGGGTTAACCGCCGTGTTAAAGGGACTCGAGAGGTTCCTGGCATGGGAGCAGGTGAGGACAGGGACCGAGAGAACCCAGACCCTCGGAAGCTGCAGCAGGAGGCAGGGAGTGGAGCAGCACGTGGCCCGTGCGTCCCCAACGAGCAGATGTGGAGGCTGGTGGCAGATCCTGCGGAGTGCAGCCTGAGGGGGGCTGTGGGGTGGCCCCGCGAGAAGGCGAGAAGGCGAAGGGCGTGGGCCTCGCCCTGGGGTGGCATCTCTGGAGCAGATGCTGGCTGGTGCCGGATGTGGCGCGAAGGTGAGGGAGCTCTGGCCTTCCCGTCTCCTCAGGAGCTCTTCAGGTGAGGGGCAAAGGGGACTGAGGGTGTGAGGGAGAAAAGGTGAGAGTGAGTTTTCTCAGATGCACGAGGGGACCAAGGAAATGGAGGGGCAGCTTGGCAGCATTTGGAGGGACGCCTGGCTGTGGACATAGTGGGGGCAGTCTGCAGGCTGGACGTTCTGACCAGGCCCTGGCCCTCAGCAGGTGGCCCTAGGTTCCCCCAGGACTGAGGTCGGCCAGGCAAGGAGAAAGCACGGGACGGCGTGGGCCGAGGGTGGGGGGGGAGGCGCACACTGACGTGACCTGAGTGTCCATGCCGACCCCAAACCCTCCTGCACCTGCCGGTTTGACTTTGAATGTCCTTCCCTAAGGGTGGGCCCAACCTGGCAGAGCGGCCATCTCCCGCCACCTGCTGCATTTGTAAAGCAGGCAGCACCTGACCCAAGTGAGGCGCTGACCTCGGTTCCCTTAGACGGTCAAATGAAAAATGACAACAGCTCACACGGTAGCCATTGGGGTGAATGAATCACAATTATACCTATTTTTTGGTCGGATCAGCAAAAGATACATTTCTCGGTGTTCCGCAGTTTTAGTCATTGGTTTACGTGCTGGGATATGAAAGGGCCGTCACTGTTAGAGAACAGGGCTGCTAGACCCCCCTCTCTGGACGTACAGCGCACCACGACTAGCACATCAAAGAGCAGAGCGCCCATCGTCCCGTCGCCCGAGGGCCTCCCTTGACGCTGGCAGTACAGCTGACCCACCCGGTGGCTCGGTCGAGCTGAATCTGACTCCTGTGCTTTCCTTCGATCTTGAGGATCAGAATGAAATCTTGTCCTGAGATGCCGACAGGACACCCCGCTGTAAAGCTCCCCCTGCTGTTCCTTAGTGAACGCGCCCTGGAGTTGGCTTCTCCCTTCACAAAGGACGCGGCCGCGCGGCGGGCACACCGAGCGGGAGGCTGTCCCTCGGGGGACTGCACCTGCCGGCGTGTTACACCGTCATCGCCAGCGAGTTGCTGCTGACACAGCAGTACAACGATCCGCACGGGTGCCCCGAGGACGTGTTACTCAAGAGATGGCCCTACTTAGGAATCGAAGCTCCGGGAAGAGCCTGGGTCCCTGGGAGGCTTCCAGCGTCTGAAACCAGCCCGGGCCATGGCCGTGTGGCTGTGGCTTGGAGTGTCCCGTGCATGGGAGGTGGTGGCTTTGATTCCTGGTCGACACATACTTAGGCTGCGGGTTCAGTCCCTGATTGGGGCGCGTACAGGAGCCAACCGCTCGATGTATCTCACATCGATGTTTTTTCTTCTCTCCCTTTCCCTTCCTCCCTATCTAAAAATAACAAAATCGGCTTGCAGAACACACAATGGAAGGCACTTCCTAGGAGCATAGAGAAAAGTTGACTTTAAATTAAATCTCTTGTCATCTTTACAATAAATCTGCAGCTCTGTTTGAAAAAAGAGGCGCACGAATGACTGTGAATTCTAAACTGGGCAGGGAGGGCTAAGGGGTTGGTTGGTGGCTCAGGGGACCTGGGCGGAAGGGACTGTTGGTGTGGGGACCACAGGAAAGGCTCTGCACAGGGTAGGAATGGTCGGGGGCAGGACGCTTGGATGCGCCCTTTAGAGACGCAGTCATTGGTCACAAGAAGCAGGCTCTGGCCATGGAGGGTACTGAGGGGCACGGGTCAAGCTCACGCAAGGGAGAGGCTGAGAAGACAAGCTGTGGGAAGGATCGCCACGTGGTCAGTGACGCTGCTGTGAACAGCCAGCTGGAGGGAAAGAAGGCAGTGGTGTCTCTGGTGGACAGAAGTGTGGCCCCATGGCCGGGCATCGGGCACTGTGACGGGGAAGGAGGAAGTGCTCACGGGGCGCCAGGGCACAGGCCCCATTTCTAAGTTCATGGTACATGACGTGGGGACCTAAGGGCCAGAGGTGGAGGGAGCTTCTCAATCAGCAAAGGTTGGAATCACAGGAATTTTGCTGATGACTGAGTTCCAGGGGCACAGTGAGTTGGGGGCAGGAGATGGACAGGTCCCTGAGCAGTTAAACTTCTGGTGCTGAGAGAACTAAGGGCAGAGCAGGGCCTCTCCTGCGGTCTCCTAGAGCACGTTCAGATTACAGCAGGGCAATGTGGTGCTGGGGCTGCGGGTCCTCAGGCTGCAGGGCAGGGGCTGAGGAGCCTGGGGCAGGCGCTGTGTGGCTCCCCTAAGCCCTGGTGGTGCGCAGGCTGGGAGGAGCCTGGGCAAGCTCTGCACCCCGTCCCCAGAGGGTGCACTTGCAGCTGTGGGCACTGGGGGACACCGTCTCTGCCAGGCCCAGGGCGTGTGCAGGGAGAAGGTAAGAAGGCCCAGCCTTGGGCTGTGGGCAGGTGAGGCAGTGCAGTGGGGCCTGTGTGCTGAGAACCCTGCTCAGTCCGGGGTCCTGGTGACCGGGAGCGCCTTCCTCTCCTGCCATGAGACTTGCCTGCGGGTGGGTGTTCAGCCCCGTCCTTGGAGCCGAGGCGGGGGCGGGCAGAGGGCTGGTTGGGGACCTCTCCATCCACCCCCTGCCAACAGGACATTCCCCTTGATACCGAGGAAGGTTGGGGGTCGTGGAGCTTGACTGGTGCGACACACGGGTATGACTGGGAGACAGCAGTGCGAGACACAGGCAGGCCCTGGCTGGCTCGGGGAAAGGCTACAGGCCAGAGGGGCCTGCTGCCGTGGGGAGGGGCTAAAGGGGAGATGATGCAGCCCCAGGCCTGGGTTCCATAACAAAGCAACAATTTATTTTATAAAAATACCCGCCCAACTGCACTGGAGTCAGGCAGATGGATGGTCGACGCCTGGCACGGTGGGAGCCACTCGGCCTGGCTGCTGCTCGGCCCAAGACGGTCACTGGGGGAGGCCCTGGGGCAGGCTGAGCCCCGAGACACCTTGCATATCCGGAGGCCCAGTGTCGTAGCCCAGCTTCCTCATGTCCTTGGTCACCACATTGAAGAGAAGAGTGACAAAGCCCTGGGAGCGGACGCGGGTCACTGGGGACAGAAGGGAGCATCAGCAGGCTGGGGCAGAGGCAGAGCCAGGCTACTCTGGACTCTCAGTCTGTGACCTGCCTGTGGAATGACACAGTCCCTGGCTTGGACGCAGCACTGGGAAGTGAAGGGGCTGTATGGAGACAGACAGACAGGGCAACCCCTTGGTGCTCCAGCCAGGCCTGTGTCCGGGAGATGCTCTGAGAAAGTCCCTGGGTCCTGTTCCTGCAGAGCCAGCATCTGCAGGCCTGGCAGGTCCCTGGCTCCCCCCCCGNCTCCAGCCAGGCCTGTGTCCGGGAGATGCTCTGAGAAAGTCCCTGGGTCCTGTTCCTGCAGAGCCAGTATCTGCAGGCCTGGCAGGTCCCTGGCTCCCCCCCCCAACCCCGTCTGTCTCCAGGGGGTTCACCTAGTCCCTCTCCAGCTCCAACCTGTCTATGGGGTGAGGGGTGGGACTGGGGGACCAAGCTTTACCTTCCCGGCCTTCACCCTGAGCCACGACCTTGGGGTCTGTGTACTCAGGCCGCCGTCCCATGAACCAGCTGAAAAGACAGAACACCAGATGAGCCAAGCCAAGGCCCAGGGACCCCCACAGATGCTAAAGTGGGCTCTCTCCTTGCTTTAGAAACCAGCAGCCCCC